TTATTTTCTGTAATTTAATAACCAGCCTGTAATTTATGCAATAATTTTACTAACAGGTCTGAAAATTATGCAATTGTTTTTAAATGATGTATTTTTTGGATTCTATGATTCCTTTATGCATATTTGCATATTGCAACCCTAATTTTTTTTCTTCATACCACAATTAAATAAGAAGAAACCCTTCAGTCTGTAAACTAAACAATTCTGGATAATCCCGACAGATTTAATAAAAACCGGATCACTATTTAAAATTTCAAGTTTTAATTCTCCAAAATTTTATTCTCCAAAACTAAGAAAATAATAAAAAACCCTTTAGACTGTAAAATAGATAACTCTGGACAATCGCGACAGATTTTTTAAAATAAAATTTTTGTTTTTTATTTTCTTATAGTTGTTTGATCACATTTATTTTGTTTGATCACATTTATTTTGTTATAGTTGGTGGATCATTATGGAAAATTTCAAGTCAAATGTATTATTGGTTCAAAAGTAATCTTGTGTGGCCAGACAGGTATGATGGGTGCATGTAAGTGATAGTTAACATGGGCCGAGCAAACATGCCTAGCCGCACTTACACTTAGAGATGGTCGGACTGATTGACGTTTTTCTGTTCGCCCGTGTTCGTACGGTCCGAACCACCGAACCGGTCGAACACGAGCAACAATAATTTTGTCAAACAACCCGGACAACTCGGACACCCCAAACACCGGACAGAAAAACTAAAGTCCAACCGAACACCGATCGATCACCGAACAGCCATTGAACTAAAAATATCGAACGCGGTCGGACGTCAAACATGCAAAAAAATGAAAAATAAAAAATGACAGAAGAATCGGACAATTTTTCATATATACAGGTTCGTTGTAATTTCTAGTACAGATTTAAGTGCAGTATATACAGCCTGTATAATACAGGTAGTAAATTTAAAAAAAGTTCAGTAAGTTTTCAATAAGTTTTCTTAGTGTTTATCCTTGGCATTGAAATGGGAATTTCGCAGTTCCTTGTCCATTCGAAGTAGCATCAAGGCTTCAATTGTTTCTGGTGCAAGATTGGCTCTCCTGTCATTAGTAATCAGCTTTGCAATGGAATTCATTCGTTCACTTGGGGCTGAGGTAGCAGGAATGGCAAGAACAAAGCTAGATACAATGAACAATACTGGAAATGTCTCTTTATTTTTTCCCCACCACTTTAGTGCTTCATTCCCCAAATTTTTTAAATCTTGAACATTTGGTGCCACAACTTCAATTCTACTATATTGTTCAATTTCATTGTTCTCAACAGGGGCTGTTGAGTCAATAAAGGAAGAAAGTGAAGGCAAAATGTGGTTAGAAAAAGGCTTGGTAGAGGAGTGCTGCTTTTTCTGAGGTGGAGAATTGGTCGGTGATGAGTTTGTCTTTTCAAAATTACAATATTGTATAAGACGTCGCAGGTTTTCCTTTGTTTCTATAAGCTTGGCAGAAGCATTTTGTCCGAAGACTTTGAAAGACTTGCAAAAAGGAATAAGAAACAAACCAATGCAATGAATATGATTTATTTTGAATTTATCAGACAAAATGTCAGTTGCAAAACTTGACAAGTACGTAATAATATCTCTTCGGTTTTCATAGTCCTGTTTGAAGACCTGAGAATCATATTGAGTTTCAAAGTCAGAATCATTAACCCAACGCAAGAAGTTTTCAACTGAAAAAGTGTTTGCCAAGTCAGTGTCATTATCAATTACATAAGACTCTGGATTGTCTGATTCAGGAGTAATGTTCAAAGGAATCTGTGCAAAAAATGAGGAGAAAGTCTTGAAGTAATCTTGCATACTAAAATTTAACAAAATTGGCAAATAAATTGTTGGATAGGTTGATCCTTCCAAATCATCACTTGCAGCTTTGAAAACTTTAAAAAATTTAACCAAAACCTCCAACTAATTTTTGTCGATTGCCTCAATTGCTACCATTTTCTTAGTTCCTCGTAAATGAATCAACAATTCATCATACATTAGAAGGACTCCTTTAAAGAGTGCCAGATGTGAATTCCAACGTGTAGCTACATATTTTTTTAGAGTCCGGCTTAATTTTGCATTCACATTTCCACTCTTCACGAATGTAACAACTTGATAACAATCGTGAAGAAGATCATGCAAAGATAAGCAGTGAATTTTCAGTTCAGATGGTTTAAAAAGTTTTGTCAAAACATTGTTCAAGATGTGGCTGCTACATGAAATTCTTGTCGATTGCAAGATTTCTGGACGAATGTCTATATCTTCTATTGCTACTACAAAGCCACTATCTTTCAAAGCACTCAAAATATTAGAACCTTGATCAGTAGTGAAAATTATTCGTCTCAGTCCGCCAGCAGTATAGGCATCTACCTTTTTAAAATTGTCAATGAGATATCGAGAGATGACAGTGGCAGTTTTTGAAATAGGAGGTAACACAGAAAAAGCCATTGCCGCCTCCTGTACTTGATTATTTTCAATCCAATGCAGCGTCATCGATAGATATGAGTTTCTGTGAAAATCATCAGTCCAATTGTCAGTAGATATGCCTACACCACTTCTTTCTAGTTTCGCTTTGAGTATTCGGCTGATTGTGATTCTAGACTTTGAAACACTAGTTTTAATGGCTTTAGCAACTTTGTGTTTGGAAGGAAGAATGTCTTTAGCAGTAATATGTCCCGATAAGTAGCACCAAGATGAATAGCAGTGTTTATGACAGATTCAAATCCTTCCCCATAAATTGTTACAAATGGACAAAGATCAGTACTAAATAACGCAAGACAACTATTCAACATCGCATTCTTGTGGTTTTTATGAACTTGCACAGATGTTTTGAAGGTAGAATTTTCCTTTTTTATTACTGGCAAAATTGACTGAGAAGGATCTTGAGCTGTTGGGGCATGTGTTTTTAAATGTCTGATCAAAGTAGTAGTGCTACTTAGCTTTTGATGAACAGCTTTTTTACAAATGTTACAAACTGCAATATTTTTGACAGGTTTGGAAGCATGTAATTTGAAGAGCAAAGAAAAGTTCATCCAAACTTTTGACTTGCCTACACCAGTAGTTTTCGCTTTCAAAAGAACAGAACCACTGGAAATTTGTTCATTTAAAATTGCATTAAGTTCAATGACTTCATCTGAAGTCTCATAGATCTCTTTTATAACATGCGCCATTTTGTATTTTTGTGTAATAAGTTCTCGAAAATGTGTAACTAAATCGAATTTGACAACATGCAAAGTTAAAAAACAAAGTAGATATTTACAAAACAAAAGTTTTTTAATAAATTCAATAAATGTATAAATTTTTTGTAATATAAATTTAATATGTTATAAAATAAAAAAAAATTAATTTTTTGTTAACAACCAAAGCAAATAGGATATTTATCATATCTTCTTTGCTTTTGGTCATGTTCGAATTTGATAATCAAAATAAGTTTTTCTTAAGCAGTTTTTTACGCTGATTTCAAAAAACTAAACTTTAAATTATGAAAACTACTGCATCAGTGTTATAAAAAATTAAATGCTTCGATTCACCAATATCCTGTAGTCCAAGAAGAATAAAACTGAAGGTGAATAATTTGGATTAAAATGGAATAAATTCAAGAGAGATAATAATGCTGAACAAGTCGTACAACCGAACAGTCGAACACTTTCTAAAAAGTCAATCAATTTTAATCGATTTGGCCCAGAAATGCCAGCCCGGTCGGACGCCGAACATGGCGGCCATAAAAAAGTCGGACAATGGCGGACATCGGACAAAACATTCTTCAATCAGAACCGAACATTTTGATCACAGACACCGTTGAAAATTTTTCAATTCAAACCGATCAATCATCTTGTAAAATTTTTTTTGACTCGGCCGCACATCGGACACAATGTGGCCCATGTCCGACCATCTCTACTTACACTGCAGTGTAAAGTCGTTACACTGTAATGAAAGCATGCTTATAACTTCAGTTACAATCATAAAATTGATTAACTAATATATTTTTTTATTTAATTTTATTTAGCCTCAAGTAGTCCTTACGGTCTTATCACAGAGCAACGCGGATGAGCATTTAATTGGAAGTTCTTGCCTTTTTCCTAACCAATGTCGCGAGACTTGCCCAGAGGTGGGTTTGAACCAAGGGCCCTTTGCTTCTGAGGCAAGTGCGCTACCACTGCACCACGGCTGCTCAATTATTAGTCGCTATAACATTGCATTAATACAGTAAAAAATATTGTAACATTTTAACAACAATATTGCTACTGCGTATAAACGCATTAAATTTATGTTAAACAAAATGACACCGGCAATAAAAAAAGGATCAGAATTATTTATATTCAAATGCATCTTAATTATTACATTTGCATAATTTTATTGGACAATTAATTGAGCAGTATATAGAATTTAAAAATGAACGCGCAGTAACATTGCAATGTTGAAATAAACCGCAATATGTTGATTATAGCAACCTGTTTTAACATTATATTTACGTTTTTATGGTTACTATGGCAACCAAAGACCATTTTGTTTTTTCTTGTTTATAATATTATTATTTTTGTTTATATTATAATCTTTATTTAGTTTCAAATGTTAAATACTTATGTTTAGGAATGGGGGATGCTTCCCCTTTCACACTTCTTTATGTTAAATCTTACTAACTCAATTTTATTATAGAAATTTTAAGTTAAGTCAATTGATTACTTTCTATAATTACACAATACAGCTCTTATATAGAGAATTGAACTTTAACTGCTAACAATTCGTATTTAATAGCAATTTATGCGCAAAAAATAAAATAGTGAGGCGTACTCTAAAGTTACAACTAAAGGTTTTTCTTGACTTAGTTAAAAAATTGCACGAGAACGTTAAATCTATTATCCCGAAAATGCCTAGTAAAGAACTTATTAGTTATTAGAGGTAATAATTAATATATATATTAATATAATAATAAACCTTATTTAGAAGTAAAAACTTTAAAAATTGCCGCAACACCCGACAGTTACGAATAGCTTGAGAACTAGCACACTAATTTAAATAATTCTTTTTATTCATCACTAAATTAACGGTTAGATTTAGCAACACGTTCTAATTCATCTTTCTTTTTAATAGCATAGGAGTTGGAAGATCCCTAAACAAAAAACAGCTGTAAATAAAGGGAAAACATAAGCAGATTATAATATAGTAATATTAATATAATATTAAGCATATAAACAAAAAATAAAAACAGACAAAAATATTGACCCACTAATACACAAGTAGTAATACAAAAGTATTAACAAATTTTCCTATTTTTAAGTATTGAGCAGATCTCTCTCGCACACTAGAGAGATCTGCTTAATACGTAAAGATAGGATTTCTATCCCCACAAATATTTATCGGCCCTTCTTATAAAATGGCGTAAAAATTCATTAAAATTTAGTCAAATGAATTTATTTATAATTAAAAAAAAAAAAAAAAATGAAACAATGTTAACCATGAATTTCTAATTTAGAAAAATAAAATTCCATGTTTAAACCCTTACAAAAACAAAAAATCATAGACAATATCAAGTGATAATTGTCTCCTCTTTTCAAGAATTAAGATTTTCTGTCACTTAACAACTTATAGCAACAACATAGTAAAACTATATATTTTTAAAATCAACAATAATTCAATTTTTAAAATTTTAAAAAAATTTGACAATTTTGAGATTTCTTGGGCCAGTACCACCTTAATAATATATAATAATTAAAATAACAATGTCTAATTAGTTTATTTTAAAAAAAGTCAACATGGCTGAATGACTCAAAATGGCTGAAGTTCAATCAATCACTATGACAAAAAAGCGCTTAACAATTTAAATTACATTTACTGTTATGTTAAAATGAAATTTGATCTTCATTTTAACTAATACTTTGAAAAATCCTTTGCAGCTCTATAACACACATTTAACCTAAATTGCATTTAAAATCTTTAAAAACAAACACTTTACCTTAGAAGCATTAATGAGTTCATCAGCCAAACATTCAGCAATAGATTTAATGTTTCTAAATGCAGCTTCACGAGCACCTGTGCAAATTAACCAAATAGCTTGGTTAACTCGCCTTAATGGGGCAACATCAACAGCCTGTCGACGAACTGTACCTTGACGCCCAATACGAGTAGAGTCTTCACGAGGACCACTGTTTATAATAGCATCACATAAAACTTGTAATGGGTTCTATAAATAAAAAATAATCAGTGAAAAAAGAGGGTAAAAAAAAAAAAAAAAAAAAAAAAAGCAAACACCCATAACTTAAAAAGTTCTGCATCAGTCCTATCGATCAGATTATCAAATAATTATAAATTATCACAGTTTTCAACTCACATCACTTGCAGAAATATTTTGTGACATTTTTATTTTTACTAAATGTGAACAATAAGTTACAGATATCAACAAAATGTTATTATACAAAATTACTCTATATCACATAATTCTAATGCTATGCAAAATTAAAATAAAAAACACCATTAAAAATGCATAAATTATGCATTCTAGAAAAAAAAAGTATATGAAAGAACAAGATGTTGTCAGTTTGAGACCTTAAGCATACTTGACTAAACATTCTGCATCAGTCCTATCGATCAATTATCATTTAGATGTAAACTATCACAATAATAAATGTACATCATTTACAGAATGCTAAAATACTTTAACTCTTTAAACATACATCTGAAATAAGCCAAACCTCAACATTTTTTAAATATAAATAGGCATTATTATTTGTAAAGTTGCAAATATTTTATAAAATATCTTATGTATTTGTATTAATTATTAATGGAATAAACTATTATTGAGGAACATTTTGCATCAGTCCTATCGATCAATTATCATGTAATTGTACAATTATCACATTTAAAAATTTACATCATATGCAAAATGCTATTTGAATGATAATGATTAGCTAATGCTGATGTTCACACATGCACAGGCTGGACATCTATTAAACTAAGAATATCAACATTTATTTGATCAAAAAACTGTTCAAAATTTTTAAATTACCTTTATGAAAAATATCATTTAAAATTTGTTGTTTAGCAATATATTAAGCTGAGCATATATATGTTAAGTTAAAGTTTTAGCAATATAGAGTAAAGAGTATTAAATCAAGAAGGTAAAAAACAGAAATATTAGATAGAAAATCCATTGTTTTCATACTATATGATTTTAAAGCAGGTTAAGTTCAAAAATTAATTGTTGGAATTGTTATAGTACATTATAAAAAGGAAACTGTAAACAAAAAATCTGTAAAGAAAAAAAAACACACCCTTAAGAGATGTAAATGTGATACTAAGTCAACTCAGTTCATAGAAATCTAAGTCATAATGTTATTTAGCTATAAAGTTAATGCAGTAGACCGTTTGTTCAAAGAGTATTTAAAAAGAAAAAATCTGAAATCATAAAAAAGATATCATAAAGGTCACTTGATGGAGAAAACAAGGCATTTGGACAAACTAAATATTTGCTTAAATTAACGGTAAAAACAGATTGGTGCATTTTTAAAGACAATGAAACTTATTGGAAAAAAAAATTGCCACGCTTCCAAGCAATAAATTATCAAAACTTTATGAAGCAGATGACAAATTAAAGAACTATTAAATTAAAAAATTGCTATTGCATTTCTTATATGGCAAGCCATTAGCAGTTGTGAATTTAAAACTCTCTTTTCATAACAAATCAACATTTGACATCAGATTCATATAACTGAATGCTTGGAAAAATTCTTTCTCTAATTTAAAAGCATAAAAAACCTTAACTTAGCTAAATCTGGCATTAATTCACTACTCTAAAAAAGTAAAAGGGTGTCAATTTTGTTCCAAAAGGTGCTAATTGACAAGACTGCCAAGCAACAAGCCATCAAACCATACTGGGCAATCAAAAAAACAAAAATATACATCTAAAAATTATCTAAAAAATGATCTAGAAAAAAAGTTAAAAAAAAAAAAAAAAAAAATGAAAACATGAATCAAGGCGCCTTAAATGCATCTGTAATAGAAAATTTAAAACGCAAAATTTGAAACAAAAAATTAATGAAATGCAAATACTATACTTGGGTTATTGGATTGGATATAAATATTTTTTAAACCTATTGGCTAGACTAATAACAACAATCTTGTTAACTGTACAATATAACAAAAATTACTTAGTGTTAAGAACTCAATTTTGTTCAATATTGTGAACTGATAGTACACATTATAAAAAATGTTTTAAATACCTAGAAAAAATTTATACTTTAATTCCACAGCAAAATTTTAAAATAAATTATTAACAATATATTTAAAAAAAACTTTCACAAAGTGCAATGTCAATTAAAACTACTGAATGTAAATTTAAAAAAAATGAAATACCTCTCCTGTTAACAAGTGAATGATTTCAAAAGCGTGTTTTACAATCCTAACACACATTAATTTCTTGCCATTATTACGACCATGCATCATTAAAGAGTTAGTTAGTCGCTCCACTATTGGACACTGAGCTTTCCTAAATCTTTTGACAGCATAGCGAGCTGCTGTGTGTGGAAGAAAAACAGCAAATTTATCTTTAACAGCAATATAATCCTAAAAATAGAAAAAATACTTTATCCAATAACTTTTATAACAATAACAATCAAGGACAACTTATATATTACAATAATCTTTAATTTTTAGTATTATATTTATATTAGGATTTCCATAAAACTTTGTAACTAAAACATCTGAAACCCTTAATGAATATTCATAATACACTTAATTATAAGTTGCAAACTACTATTTCTACATATTATGAAACAACATCAATAATACTTACAGTTAAACTAATGTCACTGACTTGAACCTCATCAGGATTCCATTTTCCGAATAGCTTGATATCATGAACTTCAATAGTTGTAGCAGCAACTTCATCACCTGGTTCTCCCCAATCTTCCATTATTGTATGGTAGTGACCTAGAAAACATATTGTAAAACTTTTACGCAAAGTAAATTAAACCACATTTAAAAACATGTGAGTGCATTTTACACCTTCATTATATTTGATCATTAATTATATAATTAAATATAAAATAACACATTTTGTATTTTAACATGATAGAAGCATTATAATGTTATTATCGCATAACAAATCATTTCATCGAGCTTATATTGATGAAATTGCTATTACTAATTTTTAGGTCCAAGTTAAGTGTCTGTATAGAGCTGGTGAGTTAGATGTAATTCCATATAAATTCTATCCCATATATTATAATCATTAAGGTAACTTGCATATAGCTACATTTTACTCGTATTTTTATCGAAATAATTTCAACCTCTTCTAGAATATACATAAACGGTCAAAACACAAAAAAAGATGTAAAATACATCTTCGTAAATTTATTTGTAACAAGACCAATCTTCAGAGAAAGTAGGTTTGAACAAAAATAAATAATTATATGGAAGAAAAAAAAAGAAAAACTAAATAACCATAAAATGGGACTACGACATTTTAACAAATTTCAATAATATAAAGCGTACACGAGTGTTAAACTGAATTACCTTCACTGCAATGAAAGTCTGTTGAAAAAGGACTTACCGAGAGCATGTGCGGTAGAATACGGGCCGATAGGATGCGTCACAGATAAAGACTGGGTAATAATTTCTTTTTTCTAAAGATTAGGCAGGTTAAAAGTTGCAAATAATATTTGAATCAACTTCAAACTTTAATTCTTTTTTTAGGCTAAATTGTAGAGTTTTAGTTTTCAATTTTAAGTTAAATTGCTGTTTTATTTTAAATATTTTTACAAAGTTATATAAAAAAAGAGATAATCAAAAATAACATATCTGGTCATTTTCCTACTTCCATATCTAAAAATATTGGTAAACAACTAATATCCTATAAATAAATTTAAAAAAGTATTCTTAAAAAGCACATTTTAAAAAAAATGGTCTTGAATCTTTTTAAGAGCAGTTATTTTATGGAGTAGTAATAATAGTTCTTTAATTTATTGGAGCTTTATTAATTCTTAATGTAAAATTCTCGATAATGTAAAATTTTTGCCAGGTACGGTTAGATTAAAGTTTGAATTGGAAATTTAACTTAACTTTGTATTCCTAAAGATAAAAATTTTATTAATGATTTATGTTTCTCTTTACTCCTACCTGAACTCTTTTGAATTATGTTCGAAGAGTTTGAAAATCCTTTTATTTAATAATGCCCGTATAGATTTATATGCCCGTATAGACTGCCGTATGTTCCAATTTTTATGGGAAAATTCAGATGCCGAGTTATTTTATTGAAAATCACAAACATGTTATTATAAAATTTATTCTATTTGAAGAATTTTTTTAACTTTTTAAGAAATTCTAACAAAAATGGTCAGCAAATGTTCTTCACTAGAATTTATATCTGAATATATTTAAGCAACAAACACGAGCAAATTTAAATCAGATTTGGACACGATTTGTTTAATCGTTAAGATTGGATTTCAACTAAAAATTGTGTTTTATGTGAACCACATTTTGGAAAAAATATATATAACAATTTTGAATTGGCTCATGAAATCTGACTCTTCCAGATACTCTTGTGAACTTAGTAAAAAGCATCATCCTTATCAGTTTCAAAAACTTTTTGAGATCTCACTAAAAATGGAATTTTCTTAAAAGATCAATAAAAAAATATTAAAAGAAAAACGATACAAATACTAGTTTGAATGACATGAATATATTATTAGCACTATCTGGATTTCAATTTAAATTTTGATGCATTAGAAGGTTTAAAACTTTTACATGAAAAATGAAAAAACGTTCTGTGTTAAATTTTTTTCTGTTATAAGTAGAAATATCAGGTACAATATCAGGAACAATATCAGGAAGAAAAGTATTTTGGTGCTGAAAAACTAGGCAATTTGAATAAAGGAATAGTTACATTTTTGGTAATAGAACTAAAAAATTCAGTTTCCTATATTGTTCAAGCAATACCTGAAGTCACATTTTCTGCAAAATCACAAAAAATACCTAGTTACATTTTAAAAACATTGTCAGATTCACTGTTCATGAGATTGTGAAAATTATTTTACTAATGTTAATGTATTTTCTTATCGTTACTTTGTTCAATTTAAATGTTCAATTCTGAATCAAGTAATTTATAAATCGCCTGTATAATCATAAAAAGAAAATTTATTCGTTTTATGATATTTGTGTATTTAGTCAAAGCCTTCCAGTTTTTAAACACCATAATGTGAATATCAATATTATTGTCTATCATTATACACAGTTGATGATTTATGTTGATTTATGGTTAGTTGATGATTAGTTAATGATTTATACAAATTACCATATGGTAATGGGCTAAAAGATAAAATATGAAAAGCTGTTAAACTTACATATGAAATACTATATCCTAAACAAAGTAAATAAAATATGCCCCAAGCATTAACTACATAAAAATAAAATTTCGACTTCGAAAAGCATATTTTAAAATCAAAAAAATCTTTCAAATTTTTTAACCATTTTTAACATTTGGTGAAAAATTGTTAGTTCTAAACAAATATTTTCACCTCGTATTAAAGGCAATACTTGGAAAACAAGAGTTATAAGACTTCTTGAGGAAAAATCTCTCTTATCACTTGATAGTCTATTTGGATTCCATCCAAACAGTTTGCAGAGTTTATAGTGAGTTTATTTACCATTTTAGATCTAATTGAGAATAAAATTTTATTTTTTGAATTGAGAATATTATTTTATCAAATTGTGTCTTTGAGTCATCAAGAATGTTGTTACAAAGTTACACACCGAAAAGAAAACTTGTTTGTGAAAATCACGAAATTATGTTTTCAAAAATTTTTTTCAAAATTCTTTTTAAAACAAACAAAAGCAATCAAAGAATTTGAATTCTGATGGTAACTTATAAATATATAAAAAGAAAAAAAAAAAATCAAAATTACAAATTAAGTTATGAAAGTTGTTTAACATTTGTTTAAATAGTTAGTTAAAATTTACTTAATATTTGATTTCTTTGAATTAATTATTGTTATTTTTCTAGTGGCAAAAAATTTTTTTTAAAAAATACAAGAATATACATATATATTTAATTTTTGTATACATAGATATAAATTATTATTGATTAGAACATTTTTTTGTGACATTTATCATTTGTCTTTGCGTTGATTACAACCAGTATCGTGATTATTTCACAAATGGCTTCAAATTGCTGATGCCAAATATATCTTGAATTATAATATAATATTGTCCACTAGGGTGCATCAAATCCCCCATATTTTCAAAAATTGATCTCTATCTGTTCGTAAAACTTTCTTTTGGTTCTCACAAGCAACTCTGTTAAATGTTTTCAAAATTGTAAGAGATTTAGGGGAGCCACCTAAAGTCTGAAACTTACAACGATCCAAAAACAGAAAAAAAATATTTAACAATTTTTAGGGGCGTTTGATGCACCCTAATGTCTACTAACAGTCAATTTTATATTAAAGTAAATAAAAAATTATTGTTTGAGCTGCTTTTTGAAAATTAAAATTTTTTTTTTTGGGGGGGCGGGGTATAATTAATTGAATAAATTGTTTTTTGATACAAAAAATAATAATAAAATAATAATATACAATAATAGAAATTTTTTTTTTTAACTTATGGTTTAATTAGTTATTAAGTTTAGTATATTTAGTTATTAGTGTAGTGTACAACTCAAACTCAAAGACAATGCCACCTTTACCCGTCTGTCTACCTCCATTAGTATTTGCCTCTGTTACGTGCAACGTATCATTATTAAGCTTTTAATTTATTTTAGTAGTGAAACCTAGTTTTTTAAATTAATTTTTTTTAGTCAAAATCTATAAGACTAAGCACACAATATTGGCGGCTGACTGAGGAAAAAGGAAATTTGTTGGTACGTGCGTCAGCTGAGTAAAGAAAATTTAAAAAAAAACTATGCAGCCTTTTTTAAATTTAAATAAAAACATTGCACTTAAAACCTGATCATTTTTATTATTGAATTTCTTTGAAATTTTAAAAAAATTTGAAAGAAATTTCAAAGAGGATTTCCTAATACTCTTGACCCTTGTCCTTGTTTGCCTTAATTGCCAAACATTGATGGATTGGTTGACGTTCCCAAAGTCACTAGAAATATGCATGACCAATGAAAATATAAAAATTATCAATTTGAAAATATGTCCAGAGCTCATTTCGAACCTGGATCTCCTGCTTGTATAGCAAGTGCTCTAACTACTGCGCCACGGCCAAACACTTTATCAGCATCACCTAAAATTGTTCAGAATTTTGAGGTGTTCGCTGATAAAACCATTTACTTTTCTACTATTTTATTTTTTTGACCTAATTCATTGGAATTGCATAAATCGAAACTGAATTGGTTTTTTGGAACGGGCCAAATATTTTCTACAATCAAGATTTTCGCTAGCAGATAACTTTATAACGTTATGTTATTAGCTTATTGAAAAAATGTGATTGAAAAACATCTCTTTGAATTTACATTGATCTGCCTTTCCGAGGCAAAAATCAGAATATTTTTCAAAACAAAACGGATTTTCTTGGGTAAGCTTAAACTCCTTTCCAAATAAAACCCATCTCTGACAGAACATTTTAGGATCTGGGACAAATAAAGAAAATTTAATACTTCAATAAAGTCTTAACTTTATTAAATAAGTCAACTTCAGATAAATTCGCAAATACCAATAGTAAGTTTTAATTTTTTTCTAAAGTACCATAGAACTCTGATTGATCGATTTTTGTGGAGCCACACATTGTTGAAAACTGTTTAAAACTAATTATTGTTAATTTGATTAATCTTAGATGTACAATTAGCGGCCGTCTCCCAAAAAATACTTGATATCAGAATATTCTACCTTCACTTTGTTCAGTCTCGTAAAAAAGAATTTTCTTAATGAGACCCAACCGGACGGCGCTGAAGCAATCGTTAAAAGCAATTTTAGAGACAAAAACTATTTTTTATTATTACTTTTTATTATTTTTTTTATTTAAAAAAAAATATTTTAGCTTTTAAAAATATTTTAATAACCAGTTATATAATACAATTTTTTATATTACCAACAGCAGGACCACTAGTGGATCTTATCATAAAGCCCTTTACTATAAGGTCAATTTTGATAAAAATACAATGTCTGCAGTGAAACAATAATAGATTTTTATGCAAAAAATCTTCGATAAGAAATAAATAAATTTAAGGATTTTTGCTTTCGGCTTTCAGATAAAATAAAGCCTAAAACAAAATTAAAAGAAATTATTATTTGAGAATTTAGAAAAAAAAAATTTCTAAATTCTTAAACAATTTATTACTTTTTTAAGAATCCACAACTTTAAAACATTTAAAAGTATTGAATCAATACTTTTGAACATTTAAGAAATTGCGGTTTGCAAATTGTCCAGCCATATTGTATTTTGTCAATACTATTGACTAAATTTATCGTGATTGCAAGATACATTAATACATGGATTAATACATGAATTAATACATGGGTTGTAAATTTTTCAACCCGGAGTTGAAAAATAAAAAATTTAATTTAATTTAAAGCAAAACTTGTTTCGACTAAAATTTATTTTCAATTTTTTATGAAAAATACAATACCAACATGAATATTAAGTTTTAGAGAGTACAAGAGGACAGAAGCCATCCCCATCCCAACCCTATCCCCATATAAATTTTTCCATTTCCACCCGCCTCCATCAAACTCGTCCCTATCCCCACCCCATCACCAGCTAGTTTTTCCCCATTCCCATCAATAAAGAAAATTTCACAAACCAGTAAACCACATCCAAATAATAACTTGTGATTTAACCTTTTTTTTTTTTTTTAGGTGCCCCAAGAAGACCTAAGGGTCTTGTCACAGAGCACCGCGAAAGTGCATTTATACATTTAACCAGGAAGTTCACGCTTCCTTCCTTACCGTGACCCAAAAATATGTCCAGACCTCGTTTCGAGATAAAGTGATAAATAAAACATATTATTAAGGAGCAAAAAAAAAAAAAGTAAAAAGAACAACAACACATATTAAAACAATAAAAACATAACTAAATTTGAAAAGTCAAAAGTGCATTTAACTCAAGCGTTTTTAATATTAATATCATCATTTAATCATTAGATCAATCATAAGGATATTTTGCTTTTTAGAAATAGTTTTGTGGTAAATCGTTTTTTAGTAATAACTGTCTAAGTTTGGCCTTAAATTCTGTTAACAATGTAAGAGTTTTAAGTTCAGATGTTAGTATTTTATTCCATGCCTTTGGTCCTCTAATTGAAATTGAAAACTCAGTTGCCGCATAATAACTTATGGGCTGTATGTAGGTGTTACTTGAATCTCTAGTTAAGTATTTGCTCTGATTAGTTTTGAATAAGAGGTCAAATGTTTTTGGAATAATACTTTTATCAATTTTGAACATAAAAATTAGAAGATGATAAATATATATTTGGTTGATATTTAGTATATTTAACTTAGTAAATAAAGGTTAAGAGGGTGTACTGCGGTTTTTATTAGATATAATTCTGATTGCATGTTTTTGCATATTAAAGAGTTTTTTTGATTTATTTTTATTGGTATACATCATGCAATATTAGCGTAATTAAAATAGGAATGAATAAAAGAAAAATATAAGAGTTTTAAACAACTTGAATTTAAAAAAGGTTTTGCTCTATAGAGTAGACCAATGCTACTTGATATTTTACCTTCAATTTATTTTATATGACTTCTCCATGTTACATTTTCGTCGAAGAGTACTCCTAGAAATTTTAATGATACCTCTCTTTTTATTTCGCAATTGTTAATACAAAGATTTGGAAGTTTTAATGGAATTTTGTCTCGTTCAAAATAAATAAATAACATAATAACTTAAGCGATGCAGAAATAGCTTCATAATGGTAGTTACATTTCCTGTTTTTTAACTATCATATTTAACGCCTGTTACCGCTAATGTGGTATTACCAAGTCCGTTGTTACCGTTACCGTGACGTTACTGTAATATATTAAACATTCTCGCGGTAATTGTTGCGGTAACTGCGGTTATACCGCGATTCCTGTTACCATGTCGCTCTCTATTAAGTATTGCACTTTTCAAAATTATTTGTAACGTATTTAATGATTGAGATTAAGTTAATTAATTAAATTAATTTAATTAAGTTTAATTTTAGTTTTTTTGCCTAAGTAAGTGAAACTTCAAATTTTTAATTTTTGTTTTAAATATGAAACTTCTAGTTTAGCGCAATTTTAATGTGAAACTTTCATTTTTTGTTGATTAATCCTTAAGTAAGTTTTGAGTAAACTTAATAGCATTTAAATAGCAAAAAAAATATTTAATTATTAGTGTCTACTTTAAAAAAAAACAACTTATAGCTTACGTTTAAAAATAACGTTTTATTAAATCAAATGTTTTACATTAAGTAAGAAAAGTTTATTATAGGGGCACAGATATCCGTAAAAAACTTATACAACGTCTAAGAATGCCACGCGTTTGTACAACGTTCAGCAAATGTTCTGTGCCTGTTAGAATGTTATATTACAATATAGTTTAATATGATTAATAATTTATAGTAAAGCTTTTTTAAAGGTATCAAAAAATATTTATAATTATTTGGAACGACTGTCAAATTGGAATAGGCTTTTTTACTTTAGATGAACTTTAAAGTAAAAAGACGGCTGACAAGATAAACTTAGTCCTTGGTATGCTCAAAAGAACATTTAAAAATGGCACGTTCCCATGTTTATTAGACTATATACTCCTTTTTTAAAACCGTATTTTGAATACAGTACTTCTGTTCAAAATCCAAATAACAAAAAGAACACAGAGAAACTTGAATTAGTTCAGAAAAGAACAACAAAACGAGTTTAAAAGCTCAATGGTTTAAATTACAAACTTAAATTAGCAAATCTTTAACTAAAAACATTAGAGCAAAGAAGATTATAAAAGTGATCTAATTAACAAAAGTTAACAAGATCAAATAGTGTTTCCAAATTTGCTCTTTATTCTCTTCAATACACTTACAGAGCCCTGCAGGGTCCATTCGAAAATTAAAATTGCAAATAGCTAGAAAATTAACTAAAAATACACTAGGTTTGAGTTTCATTACCAACCGTATAGTTTCTTTATAAAATGATCTTCCTCAAAATGTTACCGAGGCTACAAATTTAAATAAATTCAAAAACAGTTTAGACAGTTACTTCAACAGAAAAAAGTCTTTGTGTCACAGCGAGGATTCGATAGAAACCAAACCTCATGAGAATTATATTCTTGTTGCAATTTTGTATTAATAAATAATACAATGATGTTGAAATGAATGTCTAATTTTTGGATATGAAGGATACTAACATTTTACATGAAAAAACAAAAAACGCTACTTTGTGTGTACAAAGTTGAGAAGTTAGAAGATTACGAAAAAAAAAAAGTTTATTTGATTAAATTAGAAACTTAGTCATTCTTATGCTATAAAATGCGTTTATTTGATTGTTGTTTAATTATTAAAATATATTCAACTGTAATTGAATAAATCATGTGACGAAACAATAAATTACTAAATAATTTTTTAAACGCTATTAGAAATCTTTTCAAAAAATTTTTTAGAACCTCTATTAAACTCAAAATGGACGAACTAAAGAAACCATCAAACTAGTATATGCAATAGTACGTCTCTTAAATTATTATTTTCAAATTATTGGATTAAAATTATTATTACATTTATTGTATTTGTATTTTTAATTAATTGTTTGAACTAAAAACAATAATAACTGTTTAAAAGATAGTTTATTTAATCTTAAGAATAATAATTAATCTTAGATTTAAATTAACTATCTTTTTTGAAAGAATATAATTATTATATTCTCTCAAAATCATACAAACATATAATCTACCGATAATTACACTTCAAATAACGGTAATGGCAGTGGGGTGAAACAGATAAACACTAAATAAATATCTAATCGTTTATGAATCTCTTTTATATATTTTTTTCAACTTTTTAAACAAATTTAACTTGCTTAAGGAATTAAATGTTTGAATCTTGTAATGGAAGCCGAATATGATTCTTTTAACGATTATATTGGGTTTTTATAGAATCTGAAATATTGATTGGGCTATTTAAATTAATTTAAAGCGAAGAAAATAATTATTTACTTAATTTGTGAAGTGAAATTTTTTTTTTAAATTATATCTAAACTAATAAAATGTTTTAAAATAAACTGGGTTACGCCTAAATTATGCGATGCGAGCTGGATTATGCCTAAATTAGGCAAGCGAAAATAATTTAATTTTATTATAATTAACCGAATAACTCTGTAAGATAGTCTGTGTGAAAAAGTTTATGCGACACTTGCGCTATCTCTACAGCGTTACGGAATCAGGGAATCAGTAAACATAATTACACAGTTTCGTGAACATAAATACACAAGGGTGTGTATGTGAATCAGTGACAAGTGTATTTATATTAAAGATTAAAACATTATTTTTATTGTTATTTTTGTTGCTGTTGTTGTTGTTGTCGTTGTTGTTGTTGTTGTTGTTGTTGTTGTTGTTGTTGTTGTTGTTGTTGTTGTTGTTGTTATTGTTGTTGTTGTTGTTATTGCTATTATTATTATTATTATTATTATTATTGCTATTATTGTTATTATTATTGTGATTAATGTTATTGTTAATAACATTATTGTTGTTGTTTTTATTATTATGCAATATTTTTATTAGTATAACTCTACTATTATGTACCCCATATCAATAATCTAAATTTTTATTTTAAAGAACGCTTTTGAAAATGACCAGTATTTGTACTTGAAGCAAGCAAAGCCTTGGTGAAAATATTGGATTTGTCAAAATGCTTAACTTTATTGAGTTTGTCTCGCTCATTTCTATTCCCGCGCTTATGCTGTATGGAATGTTCAAGATATTTATGTTGGCTGTACTTATTTTGTAATAAAAATGCTTTGTGAAAGTTGATTTTATTTTAAATTTTTTTGTTTATTAAATGTAGAAAAATTCTGTGTCTGTTTCTTATTAAGAGCAGGGAGTGATCATCCAAAGAAAACGTCTAAAACATGGGGAATCTAACAACTCTAGACAATGACATCAACTAAACAAATTTTATCAACACTTTGTTAAAATGTCTATAAATTTTTTGTTCTTAATCAATGATTACATTGATCTCATAAAAACGAGAAACTGAAACTAATGTACACATTTTTAACACTGATAAACACAACGCTTTAATAAAGTATTACTAGCCAACTACTAAAAAATATTAAACTGAAATGCATCACAGATCTCAATGTGAACTAGTTTAAAAGAGTCTTTAAAAGAGTTGCAACTAATGTGGGTTCATTAATTTGTTAGACAAGTGTAAAAAAGGAAAAAAAGTACCAAAAAACACATTTATCTATTTTAGTAAAACACAGATAGGAACTAAAAAAATCAAATTGTTGTGGTGAAAATATACAACAATACTTGGTCCAATATAGTGGATACGCCACATAACACATTTAACTGATTGCGTAATGACGTACGTTTTAATGTGGCATTGTCATCTTGGCACGGATTTTCATACGTCACCGGTATATAAATAATTATTAATACAAATTTACATACGTCACCAGTATATGATACATCTGATCCTATATCATAATTGTTAGCAGTTGAGTTGGCATTCCGTTTTTTCGTTTTTCTTCGAGAAACAGAAAATGTAGGATAAAATAATTACGTGAGTATGCATAACTCTGCTTCAGAAAAATAAAAACTTAACAGCGGAAAACCACCTTTATGCGCCTATGCGTAACTGTTTAGAACACTAATATAAGTGTGCGTCTAATAAAAATCTACTAAATAAATATTACTTTATTTCCTAATAACTATAGAGAAAATAAAAACTATATTCAGTTCACTGTTATATGGTTTTACTATTTTACTAGACTTGTTTTTCTCTGTTAAGTTTTCAAAAGCTTTTTTTTTTAAAAAAAGTTCAAGACATATTTAAAACATATTAACGCAAGATAGATATAAAAAAAATTAATTTAAAAGAAAAAGAAAAAACTAAAACTTGATTTACGCTACATTAAACTTAACGGAGTGGTGTAAATACGGCCTATGATTAATAAATTAACGGAGAGATGTGAATACGTGTTATGATAAATAATTAACGGAGAAATGTAAATACGGCTCATGATTAATAAATTAATCTTTACAACTGAAATCAAACTCTTAAATATTTAATAAGTCATAATAAACTGAGTTTAATAATGAGCATTTAAAAAACAATACTTTCGTGAACATAAATACATGCCGTAGTTTACAAACTTTTTTTGAATCATCTAACAAAGTTGTTTAGCAAAACGCAAAGAGAAACGGACCTCCAAATGTTCTTTTAACTTTAAATGCCTTCAAAACTATTTTCAAGTTACAAGGGCCGTCTCAAAGGAGGAGGAAGTGTAGGGGTATCCCACCCACGAAAGCTGTCATATAAGTATTTGAGTTAGCACATTAAGCAAGTTTTGAACTATAGAATGCAAATATTAAGGACCTTTTTTTTTTTTTTTTGGTGCTAAAAAAATACATACACCCCATGGAAGACCTCTTCGGGACAGCCCTGGTCATAGAAATTATATATTTTAATATATTAATATATTTTAAAAATAAACAAAATAAATTTAGTTGATACATAGTTACATACATGCTGTAGATTAATTTGACAAAATATAAAAATCTTTTAATTTATTCTAATAGAAGTTCAATTTTAAAGTCAACATTCTTTAATTGGATGCTGCACTTATTCCCTGCAAAGTGACCATAAGTCTTCTTGGGGCACCTAAATAACAAAATAAAAAAAATTTTGACTTCATTGATTTTGTTGCTTAGTGACATCGGATTTGTTGACCACAATTTAAGCCTAGAAGTGTTAGTGCTACATTTATCTTTATATATTACTATAATTTTTAATATTAAGGCTATCAAAATCATATACAAGTTTTGCAACCATTTGTAAATGATATCATTTTCGATTGACAAAACATATTTTTGTCTAGTAGTCGAGGTGTTTAAATTGATATTATTTTTCATATTTAATTGAGATTTCAACATATTTGTTATCTGGAATCCTATAATATAAATATATCTCTATTTGAAATTGATTGTTTAATTTATTTCTTTAAACTAAAAGTTTTTGATAAGATCACATAGCGTTGTAGTTAAATCATAATTAATAAACACGTTTTTGTTCGTCTATTCTTAAATTTTTCTTTCTGTATTAAAACTTCCATATCTAAAGTTACGTAAATGACTTTGTTGCAAAAGTCTAAAGGAATTGATACTCTGTGCCATACAACTGACATAAAGATTTAGGTAAAGGTAATAATATAATAAATCATTCTACGAATCTCGATTTTTAAAGAAAGATTTAGTTGGAGCAAGTCTTTCAAAGCTTGCTTTACTCCTAGAAGGTGTGCTAAAATTGATTTCTTAATTTTAATCCGATTTGACTATCTGGTGCTAGATTTGTCATGAATGGAACAACTAATACGTTTAGATAATATTTCTTATGTCTTTAGACTAAAACCGTATAAAGTGTATAATGTTTGTATAGTTCCAAAGTAGTTTATGACTTCTGTAATACAGTCAGTTACTTACTTTGTGAAGTGAAATTTTTGATTTTTAAAAATTACCTCAACTGATGATGTCTTAACTGATATTAAAATGATTGATGTCTAAACTAATTGATTAATTAAAAAGCGCAAAAATAAATTGTTTTTATAATTAAAAGTAACTAAAAATTAAAAGTAATTTTCACATGGATTTATTCCATATGATAGTGCGTGTGAAAGAATAAATGCGACAGTAGCGCCGCTTAGTAGAATGAAGTTTTTACTTCATTCTAATAAGCGGCAATATTTTTACGACGCCATCTTAACAGCGTTACGTTATATTATAGATGCTAAAGAAATATATAATCTAAAGAAAAAAAAGTAAAACTCAATATCCTTTTCATTCATTTAAGATTCCTTATAAAGTTTTTTCAAATATGCTTTAACATTGCTTTAGCGAGTTACCATAGCTTAATCAACGACGAGTTTTATAATTGCGGTGCATAGTCTCCTTTTCTTATGGTAACATACTGTTACATCGTATTTAATAAACCTATATATTTCAAAGTGAAAGAATTACGTTAGAACACGGTTTGAACCAGAACAATCAGATTCAAATAATACAGATAACAATAACTAATAATATTAATTAATAATACTATAAGAAATTTTTATTGTTTTATACCCTAAAACGTAAATAATAATTATAAAAAAAAACTTTGTTAAAATTAAAAAAAAAGAAATATTACTCATGGGCCCTGATACTCTCATGAGTCCTGTTACAGCGCACCGACTGCACCTACTTTTATAGGGTCTGCATGATATTTTTAAGTAGCTTTGAAAGCCATAGAGTATGAATTTAGACCTTTAGCTGAATGCTACAGAACCTTTTTATATTTAAAGTCTATTTATGTTGCTTTTAATTGATCAAGAAAGTTTTTGAGAATAAATAATAATCGAGGCGATTCAATAATATTAATTACTATATACTTATTCATTAATAACTCACTGTATATAATACAAGGTAAATTACTATAAAGTTACATTTTTGAAAGTAAATGTTTATCTTGAAATATTTACTTCAAGAATATTTTTAAAGGTTTTCCTTTGGTCCAATGAGTTCCAAAACTCAATTACATAGTTTAACCTTTGAAGATCCTTTTGAGAATTATTTTTTTTAAGACAATAAATTTCACTTTTTTTTTGTTTTGCATTAAGTTTTTTAGATTTAGCTCATTTCGATTGCATAAACCAATGACATCATTTAAAAAAGGGTTTCTAGCGGTTTGGTTTTTGAACTGCGAATTTACAATATCCAAGGTTGTTTTATTGCTCAACAAGCGAATAAATAAGTTAAAGTTTTGCTGAATAATTGCTGATACATCTTGGATATAAAACAAAGAGTAAATATAATTTTTGCTGTGTTTGGAAACATTTTAGAGCGACTTAAGCGCACTCTTTCCTACTAGATCAAGCTTTTGCATTAATACGTCTTTATAATCGCAAAGTTAAATACCATACGTAAGTACCCGAACCACCAATGTTTTATAAAGCTGGACAATAGAGCTTGGATGAGCAAAGTGGATTCCAGACTAAGAGTTTGGATTATTGCCCTGAACTTTGATACTCTATTATCAATATTTGAACAATCAAGGCAAAAGAAGAGCTTAAAAAATCCCATAAAAAATATAGATGATTAGCATCAACTATAATAGAGTCGTATTTTGAATTTAATGTTAACAGCGCTTACTTAAAAATATTTACTTAATAACTCATACTGTAAAAACTCTCTGTGAAAGGAAAAAATCATGTAAACCCAGCGCATCGTTTAAAACATCTGTTTCATTTAGCATTGCTTAATTAGTTCGCACCCTCCTAACTAAATTACTGTTATGAAATATATAATTATCAAAGGCTATTTTTGCACCAATTTAACGCCAAATTTTTAAATACATCTCAATATCGGTTTATAAATGAACTTGTTGAAAATTGTCTATTTAAATGTAAATTAATGTTAAATAACGTGTAGATTATGAAGCAACAAAGAATTTAATTCAACCAAAACTAAACATAAAAATTATATTGCAAAATTACAAACATGCTCTAAAAAAATATACAACTTTTTTCTTTTTTTTTATTTGCTTCTTACAACGAATTAGAAATTAAAAAAAACTAGCTAAAGTTGCTAAGATCTAACAAGACAGTTTTAAATAAAGAAAAATCATAAACAATATATGTAATAAAATATAAAGTTTTTTTTATTGTTAATCAGATTAGATTTTTCAAGCTAGATTTTCACGAAACAACTGAAAGAAAATCAAAAAATTAAAGATTGAGGAGTAGAACTCAATTTCAAACACCAAACCATCGCAAACCAATAAGATCTCAGCACCACTAATATCTCATATCGGTTTTATAAGCATTATTTTCATAATTATATCAATATCCATAAGATTTTGTTGAAGTGCGGTTAATGGAGGGCGTTAAATATTTGAAATTTATAAACGTTGAAGAACCGAGACTTCTCTAAAAATAAAATATAAAATATAAAATAAAAAAACTCAAACGAGGTCTCAGTTTAAAACCATCATCAAAATGAGAATTGAAATTATATTTGAATATATATTGGTTATCATAAAACGTAACTTGAATCGCTAGCATAGGTTTATAGAAGATAAAAATTTAACTATAACAGAAATTTAATAGAAAATGAATTAGCAGAAAAAAACAACAACCTTGAAGCAAATTTAAAGAATAATAACTTTTTTGTCTAAATATAATCAGTGGCGTAGCTACCTAGGGGCTATGCGGGGCAGTGTCCCAGGGCCCTTAAGCTCAGGGGGCCCTCGAATCTTTACCAGAAATCTGTGTAAGAAAATTGCGTCCATCGCTTTAAAATAATGGTAGGCCCGACTTTTATAAAATAAACCCTTGAATCTTCTCTATTTCGTTTTATTAGCCAAACCTACACCAAGTATTAATTGTAATTTATGTTGTTACTGTTTAATATGTTTATTACCTGCCCTGCAGTGCACAAAAAAGAGCTTAAGTAGCTTAGAATTTTGAGAGTATTTGTATATTTCATATTTTTATTTGATAAAACCTAATCAGTTTACATTGCAGTGGGGCCCCATTTTTTAATTTGCCCCAGCGCCCTTGGTTACCTAGCTACGCCACTGATTATATTTATTTTATTTCAACAATTGTGAAGAAAGTAGTAATCGAGAAAGATCGAGACGAGTTCACTGTTAGCAAAATTTCAAGGTTGTCAAGTCAGTTCCCGAGCAAACCGCGATATACCTGCGAAAGCTTATGACTAAGAGATTCCAAAAATGCAAAAATTTATATCATCTGCCTATATCTGAGAAAAAAAAATTAGTATGAAATCTCACATAAATGTGAAATGACAGCATCTCTAAAATTTTGCATTTTTACAGTTTTTATCAACGACAAAACATTTTAATAGAAATGAAATAAAAGATTCCATCATAGTCATAAAATACATAGTCTGGTAAGTTAAAGAGCGTTATTATCATTTATCTTATTGTTAGCGTTTTTTCAGAACCCAGTCTACCAATGAGTGCACACTTTTTGTAAACAAAAACGCATTAAAAATAGTATTTACAAAAAATATTCATTTATCCTTGCTTTTTCCAAATGCCTGGTGTTAACTGTTCCATTTCTGACTTGTATGGTACTTCTCAAAAAAATAAAGGTGTTTCACTTTTTAAGATACCATCCTCCAATGATGATTTCAAAAAAGAATGGAGAATAATAGTTTGAATATTAAAACTAAACATAGAATAGTTGATGAAAGCCTTAGGTCTTATGTATTTTTTATTTAAAATAAATTTTAGTTATTTTAAATAAAAAAAAAAGATTCATATTAAATCATATAAATCTTTTAAGGAATTGGTCAAACGTATTAGTCTACAAAAACTTGATTGGTCAAACGTATTAGTCTACAAAAACTTGATTGGTCAAACGTATTAGTCTACAAAAACTTGATTGGGATGTAAATATTAGTTACACTTTTTTAAAAAGACGGACGATATTCACACTGTTCCTAAGTAGAAATTCTATATTGAAGATAGCCTCTCGTTTACTATTCGTAAGTTTTAATAGGCTCTGCCAGATTATCATGAAATACTTGCATCTAAGAAGATCAATGTTTAATACAATTTTTCTAACCTTATTTCAATTTTGCTATCATATATAGTATGTCCAGGTATCCCGCATAAATTAATTAGTTTTCATGGCTATCTTCTTCATGTTATACCTAAAAATTTTGATTTATTTAGTTATTATTTACTTTTAAACCAAACGGAACATACCCTCGCTCTTTCGTGTGAAGATGTTATTTAAAAAAAGAAGATATTTGTAAAGGATGCCAATGTCTTCAGTCTCAAAATAAAATATCTGTTAAAAAAATAATGATAAATTACTTATTCTAGCTAAACTTAGAGCTTCAATTTCTAAAACTGCACCCGTGTAAAATTAACCCTACTAAGTTACCGTTTAGAAAATAAATTGCTTAAAGATAACATCAAAAAAATGCAACAGGAATTAAATAAATCATCACATCTTGTCAGTGATGACCTACGAAAAGACTTGGTTTCAATCATATAGTAATCATGATAGTACAGTCACTCCATTTATGAAGTTATTTTGAGATAAGCAACAAAAATCCTTAAATACTTCAAAGCAGGAAATTTGTTATCACACAATGATTAATCTCTATTGGTTAGGTCTTGTTTCAAAATCACCTGCTGCTTATCAGGAAATTTATTACAATGAAAAAACAAATTCTGGATTTGTCATTTTACCAAGTCAAAGGCTTTTGAGAGACTACAAAAACTATATCCGGCCACAAAGAGGTTTAAACCATAAAATTGTAAATGAATTGAGTTTAAATGTTAAGGATTTTTCTGATCAAGAACGGTTTGTTACACTTTTATTAGATGAAATGAAAATTCAAGAAAATTTGGTATGAGATAAGTATTCTAGTAATCTTATAGGATTTGTTGATCTTGGTGACACTAATATTAACTATCCAACTCTGAATAAGGCTGATGAAATTGCAACATATGTTCTTGTTTTTCTTGTGAGAGGTATTTTAAACCTATTTAAATATATCGTTTTGGAAACTTTGCTACAACGAATATTCAAGCTATTCAGTTATTTCCCTTATTTTGAAATACTGCCAGTATTTTAGAACTTTCTATCTAAAAGTAGTTGCCACTACAAGCAATGGTGCCTCATGTAATTGTAATTTTTTTTCTATGCTTTCTTATAAGACGGAAATAGAAGATAATAATAAAAATGTTACTGTTTACTTATCACATCAAAGTTACTTATCACATCATGTTTACTTATCACATCAAAGTTAAATTCGCTGATGATGATCGATATATATATTTTATAGCTGATCCTCCAAATTTATAAAAACTGCTCGAAATTGCCTTTTTCATTCTGCTTCAGGTAATGGGAGATATATGTGGCATACTGATAATCACATTTTGTGGAATCACATATCAGATTTATTTTAGAAGATATACTATAGTAATCTAATCTAAGGCCTTCACACTTGCCAAAATCATTCCTTAGAATATATTAGGTTAAGCCCATTTATAAAAATGAATGTAAGATAGCACATAGTTCATCTGTTAGCATTGCTTTGAAGACATTTGGTCCAGCTGAAGCCTCTAGAACTGATGAGTATTGTCAAATGTTCAATAATGTTTTTGATTGTGACAATGTGCAAAATATTGTAGATTCCGCTAGAAAGTAAAATCCATTTTCTGAGCCATTTTATTTGCTAAGATGATGAAAAACTAACATAGTTGACTGAAATTTTTTAAAAATATTTCGAAGATTGAAAACTCGTCTTTCAAACCAATAGTAGGAACTAATAGTCTTAATAATGATCCTGTATTAAAGGCTTTTACCAAAGAAAAATTACCGAATTGAAACAAAAAAATAAGCTCATAAAAAATAACAATTAAAAAACAGCTATTTTCATAGCCACAAACCTTAAAAACGCTTTATTAGGTATAAAATAATTTAATTGTTGTTAACTACTTGGTTTAATTAGTTGATTAAACCAAGTAGTAGTAATTCACTAGATTATTTGATATTATTACTTGAAATAACAACTTACATAATTTTATTTGATTTTCATTTAATTACATATTGCATCTTTCTATTGTGCTGCAATATATCTCGTATGCTAGATCAGAGTTCATGGCAGTTTTAGAAATCCATTTTCCCTGAGTTTTCCCTAATTTTCACCTAATTTCAAGTACTTTTTCCCTGATTTTGGTGGTAAAAAGTATATAATTTTCTTTGTTAATGTTGAAGGATATAATACTTTCGCAACTGAATCCATATTTCCCTAATATTTTGATCAGAATTTTTTAAACTTTATTCCTTTTTTTATTATTAGAAACATAAAGATTTTTTTTAAAAAGATATTTTGAACAAAGTAATGTTTTAACAAAATATAAACTTTATATGAGATCTATTCTATATAAGTTATTTTAGTATCATTCTCATTTGATCTAAGATTTTATTAGTATCTGTTTTTGAACTTAGGTACATTCTATATCTTTCATGGGCTGATTTTACATTGATTATCATTTTGTTTGTAATTCCAATATTATATACGGCTGAAGATTATTTAATAGCATAAGATCTTTAACTAAACGTCATGCAGTTATTGATTTTTTATTCAAATTTTATTGAGTGCTGCGACATTTATACTAAAACCTCTCTCAAGCTTGTCCATGACTCAGTGTCAAAAGTATTTTGACAATTGATGCTAACTTGTTATATTTATTTAGATTGCGCTTTTTAAAATAGAAGTCGTCTAAACTATCTCTATTGAATTCGTGAAAATTGTTTTGACAAACCCTTGATTGATAAACCTTGATGAATCATTTTGATAAACCCTCTCTAAAGAAATTTGTAAATTGATTTATAGCTTTATCAGAAAAGACTGGTGAAAGATACTTTAAACTAATCAAGTGGGTCAATAAAGATTTGTACTCCTTTGCATTTTCTCAAGTCATTGTTATCAATCCATTAGGGTTAAAAACCTGAGAACTGCATACAATGATAGATCCTAATGGAGTTCACTCCATGAACTTTTCAATTAGTCATACATATATGTTAAAGCAATCTTTTTGGAAACTTTGAATATCAGTAATTGCTATTTTTCTTTTGTAAAGAAGCTAATATTGTTTCAGCTGCAAATCCTAGTTTGATTTGATTTACCTTAAGTAGATAATCTTTTTTATGAACTTCTGCTACAGACCAATTATCAATAACTTTGTGTTTCACAAACAAGCTCAGTATGGTCCACAACAGTATTTTTAAGTCACTAAGCATAAATGGAACCATTGGCTTGTCAGTTAGGTACGCCAACAAATATGGCTCTACTATGCTGGCAACAAAGCTGAAAACTTCAAATTTTAAAAGAACAAGTTTGTCTTTAACAGCTTTTTTGACAATTAAAAAGCATATTG